AGAGAAGGAGAGAGAGGGAGAGGGGTAGACAGAAAGAGAGAAGGAGACAGAAGGAGAGGGGTAGACAGAAAGAGAAAGAGAGAGAGAGAGAGGTACAGAGAGATAGAGACTGTGATGGCTGCTGTATTTGCAGAAAGTAACTGTTAGTGTTCAGACACATTATACTGAGTTGCACACTACAGCAGACCGTGACCCTGCTGGATACTCAGTGTACCTGCCGAGGAGCATCCACTGCTGTTTTACAGGCAAAGTAAAGAAGCCAGTTTGTACACAGCAAGAGTTCAAAAAATGCACCAAAGTAAACGAGCAGTTAATGTGTTTTCCGCAAGTGATTGCTGAGGGATAAATGTTGGCCAGAATAGTGGGAATATCCTCCTCAACAGGGACTAATTCGTCAGATCATACCTGGTGGATGGAATGCCCTGGCAGGCTTCCTCATAAGCCTCTTTGATATAGGCCATGTCCTCACAGTTCAAATGAATGGTACCAGCTATACGCTGTGAAGGAGGTATCCCATCATTGCTAGGTACAGCCAGGAAGTTTGGCAAGCGATCCACTGCAACTGGTAGATATCAAAAACAAACAATGTTTTTCCTATCGGTTTAGATTTAGCATGCAAATTTGGTTATTATGGTCTACATTGGCAACTCCTCAGTTCTCATCGTCATTTCCAGATCCCTCAAAGTTCTCATTCCCTCCCAGTTTTTTTATAACCTACTCTGGCCCCAGATCTCTGCACTGATCCCATTCAGTTCTGATCTTCTGCACATCCTAATTTTATTGCTCAAGTATCACAGACCTTGCCTTTATTAGCCTTGTGTGGGTAAACTGTGGGATGTGTATTTGTTTTCAATATAATACCTATTCGAAGATGGGGTTTCTGAGTTAGTAATTAGTGGATTTTGAATGATCATAGAACCCATACTGTGTAGATCAAGGCCATTTGGCCTATCAAGTGTGTACCAACCCTCTGAAGAGCATCCCACCCAGCCCCAACCATCCAGCTATCCTCATAACCCCACTTTTACCACAACCAATCCACCTAACCTGCACATCCTTGGACTGTGGGAGGAAACCGGAGCACCCAGAGGAAACCTACACAGACACGGGGAGAATGTGCAAACTCCACACAGACAGTTGTCCAAGGATGGCATCAAACCCTGGCACTATGAAGCAGGAACCACTGAGCCACTATGCCACCCAATAATCTTAACAAGGTGGATGTGAAAGGATCATTTCCTCTGTGGGTCAGTCCAGAACAAGGGGCCCCTGGTTTTAAAAGGAGGGGCAGGACAGAGATAAGGCAATTTCTTTCCTCTCAGAAGTTTGGAGCTCAATCTCAGAAGGTGATGGAGACGCATTTATTGAATATTTTTCTGACGGCGGTGGATGGATTCTCATTAGGCAGGGAAGCAACGTTTATCAGGGGTAGATGGGAACACAGAATCCAAGACAGATCAGCCATGATCTTACTGAACAGTGGCACAGGCTTGGGCGGGGGCTGCAATGGTGTAGTTCTGCCCATATTTTGTATGGATTTGCAGCTCCCCTGTTCAAGCAATTTGTGATGTTTACTTCATTGACACTGCTATATGATTGAAAGTTTTTGTTGTTGCTAATGTTCCCACGTACCATTTTATCAACCAGATTACAATTGTTGGTGGGGACCCAAGTATTCCTGGCACTGCACTGAATTGGGAGACAGCTCTTTTTCTGCTCTTTGGTGCAAGGTTCAAATCCAGGTCAGAGCAGTGCAATGAACCAAATGGTATCAGGGGTTAAATTCTGTCGAGAGGCTCTGTAGCATGGCTTGCATTCCTTTTGAGCTTACAAAGTACACGGTCATCTGATTGAGGTGTTTGAAACGCCAAAGGGATCTGACAAGAGTGAATCTAGAAATGATCAACAGAATGGTCTCACAGAAGGGCAGCTCAGGCTCGAGGGATCAATGTCTTCTACAAGAAGGTACACTTTAACAACTGGAGCTAAGCTGCTCAGTGGAGAGATCAGAAGGCACTTTCTCTCACAACATGACAGTGGAAGCGGGGAGCTTTCCTACCCTAAATTCCATCAGGGTGAAGGCGTGATTACTAATGAGCCAGCAGCAAATACATTCTATTTTCCCCAGGGTAGGGGAGGCCAAACCTGGAGGGGATAGGCTTAAGGTGAGCTGGGAAAGATTTAAAAGGGACCTGAAGGGCAACATTTTCACACGCAGGGTGGTACATGTGTGGAATGAGCTGTCAGAGGAAGTAGTAGAGATGGGTACAATGACAAAATTTAAAGACCGTTGAACAGGTACATGGGTAGGAAAGGGGGATATGGATCCAAACACAGGCAAATGGGACCAGTTCAATGTGGGAAACCTGGTTGTAATGGACTAGTTGGGCTGAAGGGTCTGTTTCTGTGCTGTATGACTGTACAAACTTCCATCATCAAAGACAACAATGGGTCCACATAGGGAACATGTCACCCATCTGGAAGTGTTCACTTCATTCAAACCCATCTCACCCTCTTACCGAGGCTACACATACCATTGATCTTTGTAACGGGAGAAGTGTAGTCGATGGATGAAACTTCCTTAATAAAGTCTCTGGACAGTGATTCCTAGAACAGGCAGAAACCAATTTCAAATTAAAGACTTGCATTTACACATTGCCATTCATGCCCGTTTGACTCGCAGTCAGTCTTGTACGGTAAAGTAGCACTGGGATATTGTGATATTCTTCGATGTATGAACATTGGCCATGACACTACGGACAACATTTTGTTTGTCATTGGGATGTGGGCCAGTGTTTATTGCACATCCCTAATTAACCAGAGGGCAGTGAAGAAGTCAACCACATTGCTGTGGGTCTGGAGTCACATGCAGGCCAGACTGGGTAAGGATGGCAGATTTCCTTCCCTAAGAGGCATTAACATACCAGATGGGTTTTAATTACATTTGGCAGTGCTTTCATGGTCACCATTAGGCTAGCTTTTTATACCAGATTTTTATTGACTTAATTTTCACCTGCAGCTGCAAATTTGAACCCAAATCCTCAAAACATCAGGCTAAGTTTCTGGATTACCAATCCAGTGAAATTACCACAACACCATTGTCTCTCTCCTTCTTTGTAATAGCATCAGGGGATCATTTATGATGGGGTCCCATCAATATTGGAACCAGGAGGGTCAGCCTGTACTTTACACTCAAACATCTGGAGTGTGGTTAGAACCCACAAACTTCTGAGGCGTGGCCGCTACCTACCGAGCCACAGCTGAACTTAAAATTTGACAAGAAAGGCACCTAGGTAGATTGTCCACGTGTGCATAAAGCTAATGTGCCTTGCCTCTAGACAAACTGCCTGATATCAATTCCCATAGCCTCACTGAACTTGTCATGCAGACCATAGAGTCTGTCTTAGCTTCGGGATATCGCTGTTATCTTTAATAATGCTGGTTGCTAGCACAGCCAACATTTTCTGGGTAGACTCACTGTCAGCTTGTTACTGATATTAGTCAAGCTATTGATACAAAGTGGGAAAGGATATCTACACAATGTATTCAGCAAACAATAGGTTCCATCTTGATCAAAACAGTAGAGGTTTATTATATAGTAATGTAACTAACTGATGAGTACTAAGGTTCACAAATGTGAGACATCAGGCTTAAAAGTATATATTACTCTCTTAGCTCTATGCTATTAACACTGAGAACAATTACTAAACCATAGTTAGAGAACACTACACAATTCTTGGGAACAGATTCATTCCTCTCTTGGATAATCCTTTATATTCCGATGGGCAGGCCTTATCTCGTGATGTCAGTTAACTCTATCAGATACTAAGATAACAAGGTGTAGAGCTGGATGAACACAGCAGGCCAAGCAGCATCAGAGGAGCAGGAAGGCTGACGTTTCGGGCCTAGACCCTTCTAGACCCTAAACCCTGTGTTTATATGGCTAGACTAGTTCAGTTTCTGGTCAATGGAATACCCTAGGATAGTAATAGTGGTGTAATTCAGAAATGGGAAAACCATTTAATGTCAAGAGGCAGTGATTAGATTTGCTTTTGTTGGAGATGGTCATTACTGGACAGTTGGAGTTGATAGAAGTGGCATGTGACAACTAAACCTAATCTTCATGGGTGAAGAAGGATGTCAGCTAGAGTTAATCTTTCCTGATCCCTTCTTTCATTTGTTCACAGGATGTGGGCATCACTGATAAAGACCAGCACTTAATGCCCACGGTGGCTTAGTGGTTAGCACTGCTGCCTCACAAGGTTCGATTCCAGCCTGTGTGGAGTTTGCACGTTCTCCCCATGTCTGTGTGGGTTTCCACTGGGTGCCCTGGTTTCCTCCCACAGTCCAAAGACGTGCAGGTTGGGTAGATTGGTCATGCTAAATTGTCCCACTGTGTTCAGGGATGTGTAGGTTAGGTGTGTTAGTGACGGGAAATGTAGGGGGATGGGTCTGGGTGGGATGGTCTTCAGAGGGTCCGTACGGACTTGTTGGGCCGAATGGCCTGTTTCCACACTGTGGGGATTCTGTGATTCTAAGCTGCCTCATGGAGCTGCTGATGAGCAAGCTTTCCAAATCTCTGTAGCCACCTTGGGGAAGGTACTACCCACAGTGAGGTTCTTGACCCAGCAACAACAAAGAGATATCAAGGCATGCCCAAGCTGGAATAAGGTGTACAGCCTGGAAGGGAATTTGAAAGCCAATGGGAATCCAATAACTGCTAGCTAACAGAAAGCAGTCATGAAATGGAGGCTAGATAATGAGGTGCAATGGTTTTTGGGCTCATCACTGTTGAACAGTCTGCCAACATTCACTGTCTAAAAAAAATGAACAAATGAGTGAGGTTATCTGGGTGTGAGCAGAACTTCTGGTAGTGAATACCAATGGTTTGGAAATGCACCTTCGGTGTCAGCTGGAGGAAGGTCACATGAGCAGTGGCATTGGATAAAACCACTTTGCTTCTTATCTCAGTTCCATCTTGCAACACAACTCCCTGTGCTTTCCCATGACAGTCCACGAGAATGGAATCCACTACCTGTTTGAGAGAGAGAGACAACCACATTAACTTTCACTAATGATGTTAAAGGCATGAATAGTATTAAATTTCATATTTATCAATGTACCACGAGCTTAGCAGGAGATCGCTCTACACTACTACCAGAACGGCTGCAAGTGTAACACTGGTGCAGTGGAGTTGATAGCTTAGGCTAAGCAGTTTGGATACATTATTGAAATAGGCTGAAGGGAACTTTACCCTGTGTCTGGCCACACCATAACACAGGGTTAACAAGGTGAAAAAGCAAAATGGGTTTAATTCTCCACATTAATGCTCCACAATAGACACATGAGGCCGTTTAATAGAAAAATTCTTCTTCTGTGCACCCCAATTTTGTTGCTAGCTATCCTGAATTTGTACTCTCTGGTTCCTGGCCCTGCTGACAGTGGGATCAGCTTCTCCTAGTTTATTCAGTTGTAACCTCCCTTTCTTTCTGACAGAAAGCAAATTAAAATGGAGTGGTCAGATGAGTGTATCTGGAACACCTACCTTCTCTGTAAAGATTGAGGCTCCATGATCTGTAGCTGCACTGGCGATGGATTCGGAAAGTGCACCCATTCCACCTTCCACATAACCCCAAGCCCCTTTAATCCCCTCGAGCTCCCCCATCACATGATGAAGCAGTACATACCTAAAATGGGCAAGTAAACAATTCAGGTGCTTTTTATTCATGTTTTATCCACGCAAATTATCGATGTGTCACTTGACAAATGTTATTTCTTCTGTAAATGCAATTACTAATGAAGTCTGAGAGAGCCTTCAGAATCCTGAAACACTCTGCCACCTAATGGCTAGCATCTGCCCCTACATCAAGACAGCAGAAATCATTACATCGAATGGGAAATGTTGACATAGCAATTTACAATGTTATCACAACAGTATGTTTTCTTTTCCGGGACATATGCACTGGTGGCAAGACCAGCAGTTTATTGTCCATTCCTAACTGCCTCAAGAAGGAGGTGGCAAGCTGCCTTCTTGAACCATTGCAGTTCATTTACTGTGGGAACAGATACAGTTCTGTTATGGTGTGGAGGTGCCGGTGTTGGGCTGGGGTGGACCAAATCAGAAATCACATGACACCAGTTTATAGTCCAACAGGTTTATTTGAAATCACAAGCATTTGGAGCGTAGCCCTTTCGTCAGGTGAAGTGAGAGAGGAGCACACAGAACACAGAATTTATGGGCAGAGAGGTCAAGGGCAGAGACATCAAAAGGCCATACAAATGGTGTGAGTGGAGTGTTGAATAAGAAGTCCCTGCAGGCGATCCAAAGTGTTACATGGTGTGAGTAAAGTCTAAACTACCCAGCCTTCAGGAGAACATCGACCACAACACCTCACAATCCTCCCACGGCAACTTTTATAAGGCAGGTCCAATCATCGACATGGATATCACCGTCACCCATGGGAACACCACCCACCACATACACGGCAGATAATCATGTGACTTGGCCAATGTTGCCTATCCCATACGCTGCAGGCAAGGATGCCCGAGACACGGTATATTGGCGAGACCATGCAGACACTATGATAACGGATGAATGAACACCACGCAACAATAGCCAGACAGGAATGTTCCCTCCCGGTTGGGGAACACTTCAGCGGTCAAGGGCATTCAGCCTCTGTCTTCCAAGGTGGACTTTGAGATACACAACAACACTAGATCGCCAAGCAGAAACTGATAGCCAAGTTCCGTACCCATGAAAACAGCCTCAACTGTGATCTTGGGTTCATGTCACACTACATGTGACCCCACCACACTGTTCTGTATCTATGAAATCTTCTTTACTGTCCTGTTTTGTCACCATCCCCTGGATAAATTGTTATGATCTCTCTCCCTTAATTAGTTTGTACGGTCTTGGATTACTTATTACTTCGGTCAGACCCTCAGCATGCGACTCTCATACCTATCATGTTATTCCAGCCATTTGGTTTGTCCCCAGCACCAGCTTATTTTTAATATTTTTGTAATTATCTCTCTGCCTTATTTAATCGGATTATAGGCCATCCCTTTGCTTGTTACTCAGCTATTGACACTTTACTCACACCATCTAATACTTCGGATCACCTGCAAGGATTTATTATTCTACACTCCACTCGCACCATTTGTATGATCTTTTGGTCTCTCTGCACTTGATCTCTCTGCCCATACATTCTATGTTCTGTGTGCTTCTCTCTCGCTTCATCTGACGAAGGGGCTAGCTAAGCTCCAAAAGCTTGTGATTTCAAATAAATGTGTTGGACAATAACCTGGTGTGGTGTGACTTCTAACAGTTCTGTCAGGGAGGGAATTCCCAGATTTTGACCCAGCAACAGTGAAGGAATAGTGATATATTTTTGAGTCAGGATGGTGAGTGGCTTGCAGGGGAACCTGCAGGTTGTGGCATGACCAAGCACTATGCTGCCAGGAAACGAGGCTTGTCACATTAGTGGCAGGACAGTAGCTCAGTGGTTAGCACTGCTGCCTCACAGCACCAGGGACCTGGGTTTGATCCCACCCTTGGGTGACTGTCTATGTGGAGTTTGCATAATCCCCCTGTGTCTGTGAGGGTTTCCTCCGGGTGCTTCAGTTTCCTCCCACAATCCAAAGATGTGCAGGTTCGGTGGATTGGCCATGGGAAATTGACCATAGTATCCAGGGATGTTTAGGTTAGGTGGGTTAGACATGGGGAATGGGTCTGAGTGGGATGTCCTTTGGAGGGGTGGTATGGACTTGTTGGGCCAAATGGCCTGTTTCCACACTATTATGATTTATGTGACATTTGTTTTTATTCATTCACAGGATGTGGGCCTCATTGACCAAGCCAGCATAAATACCCATTCCTAATTATCCAGAAGACAGTTAAGAGTCAACCACATTGCTGTGTGTCTGGAGTCACATGCAGGCCAGACCAGGTAAGGATGGCAGTTTCCTTCCCTAAAGGAGATTAGTGAACCAGACGGGCTTTTCCAATAATTGGTAATGGATTCATCTCCATCATTAGACTCTTAATGTCGGATCTTTTAAAAATTGAATTCAAATTCCACCACCTGCTGTTCCCCAGAACATTATCTGAGTCTCCGGATTAATAGACTCAGTGATAATACCTCGAGGCCGTTGCCACCCCATTTTAAGGTGATAGATGCTGCACTGGGTTAATTAAAATTAATATTAGGAAAAGTTTAGATTAAAAACTGAAGACAATCAAAGGATATGGAGCAATGTTGGAAAAATAAATATCGGATACAAATTGTCCATGATTTAATTGAATAACAGGTCTGAAGCCTCTTCCCTCATATTATTTTAATATATAACTTTGATGCGTAAATTCAAGTCAAATGTATTTGAAACAAGTGAAAGCTCTGATGTCTTTCCTACCCACTGCCTGCAGCCTGTGGACTTATCATTGCACCAATAACTCCATCAGTAGCCAGAGTCGCCTTCAGAGGTTCTGATTCAAACCAGTGATTTAGAATCTGCCAAAATAAAAGCAAGTTTGCAAAGCACAGATATAGGAGGATAATGTTGGAACTGATTCTGCTGTTAGTTATAAATAGTCCATGTGAGGTGACTGATAGACTTAGTCATTTTCCGGCAATGCATTTCTCAAAGGACAGATTTCCACATTGGACTGATGCCTGCAAGGGAACAGCTCCAGGCACTACTGCTGATCCTGCCTTGCCGGTGACAAGCAAGACGGCTCCAATTTCAACGAGAAAGCCTCATTACCGCCAGTCTGTTCCTCACCCAAGACTGGGCACAGAATACTTACCAAGGGCAGACGGAGGGTCTGGCAGGACCTGTCGGGAGGCCCCTGGGGACAGTCAAGGCCAGAGATATCCTTGTGAGGTTCGGAAGGACCTTCCTGCTCTTCGGAGCCCTCTCACCCCACTACAGAACAGGAATGTTTCTCTCTACTTCCCAACAGTTGCTGACCACTTTATACCCATGCTACCCGCCTGTAGGCTACGACTGTGGGTGAGATGGGTAAACCCAGAGCAGGCAATCGGATTGTTCAGCTTCAATGTCCATCTACCCAGTTTCCATCGTGGTTTTGAGGCAGGAACTGCCCAAAAACCACGCTCCTGTTCCTCAGCCGCTGTGCGTCTTAGCCAAATGGGCTCGATAGATTTTTTTAAAAAAAAATCTGTAATGGGATGGGTGCAGTAGAATAAAGTCATCATTGTCCCCGAGAAGCATTCACTCATTAGAAACACACATAGCTGGTGTTTGCTTAACCTGAGGGGCATCATTTCTCAGGCAAGGGGAGAGGTTGAGAATGTGGGATTATCATGGTAACCTCAAGCTGGTGCAGGATTTGAACCCGCGCTATTGGGATCACTTCCATCACAAACCAGCTGTCCAAGCTAACCGAGCCCCTACAGGAAACAAAAATAAAAGTTGCTGGAATGAGACAGCAGGTCTGGTAGCATCTGTGGAGAGAAATGCAGAGTTAACATTGTTACAGAGAAGGGTCTAGGCCTGAAACATCAGCTTTCCTGCTCCTCTGATGCTGCTTGGCCTGCTGTGTTCCTCCAGCTCCACACTTTGTTATCTCAGAGTTAACATTGACTCTGATTTCTGTCCACAGATGCTGCCAGACCTCCTGAGTTTTCCAGCAATTCTCATTTTTTGTTTCTGATTTCCAGCATCTGCAGTTCTTCAGGTGTTTTTTTTTTTGGCTTAGTGACCCCCCCACTACAGGATGTGTGCAATGCCGGCAAGTTTGGCATTTGTGTCCCATCCTTAATGCCCATTGAACTGAGTGGCTTGCAAGGTCTATTTCAGAGTCAACCCCATTGCTGTGGGCCTGGAGTCACGTGTAGGCTGGAGCAGATGAAGATGGCAGATTGCCTTCCCTAAAAGGACATAGAGTCATACATAGGAAAGGACATAGAGGCAACAGACCCTTCAGTCCAAATCATCCATGCTGATCAGGTTGCTCAAACTAAGCCAGTCCCATTTGCCTATATCCCTCTAAACCTTTCATATTCATGTACCTGCCCAAATATTGTTTAAATGTTGTAACTGTACCTGCATCTAACACTTCCTCTGGCAGTTCGTTCCATACACACACCACCCTCGGTGTGAAAAATTGGCCCCTCAGGTCCCTTTTAAAACCACCGCCTCTCACCATAAACCTATGCTCCCTACTTTTGGACTCCATTACCCTTGGAAAAAGACCTTGGCTATTCACTCTATCCATGCCCCTCATGATTTTATAAACATCTATAAGGTCCTCAGCCTTCGACACTCCAGGGAAAGAAGTCCCAGTCTATCCAGCCTCTCCATATAACTCAAACCCTCCAGTCCGGCAACATCCTTATAAACTTTTTTCTGCACACTTACTAGTTTAACAATATCCTTCCCGTAGCAAGGCAACCAGAATAATACGCAGTATTCCAAAAGTGGCCTCACCAATGTCTTGTACAGCCATAACATGATGTCCCAAGTCCTGTACTCAATGCTCTGACCCGGATGTTTCTTTCTGAAACAACAATCAGCAACGGCCACCATTCGGCCATTTCAAATTCCAGATTGTACTGAATTTGAATTTCACCGTTTGCCATTTGACTTGAACTCATATCCCCAGAACATTAGCCAGGTTCCTAGCTAAGTAACATCACCCCTACACCACAGTCTCTGGCTAGCACAGAACTGGTGAGGCTAGGATAGCAAACATTAGGGTCAATACACAGTGTAACCATAGAGAGCAGTTTTCAACAGGGAATTTCTGTCCTTACTTTGGATATTGGAGCTGTCAGTAGCTCGTAGAACTGTGGAATATGTCTCCCCAGCTTAAAACCTGTGAGGACAAGAAAGGAAATGATGAATGGATATGAACATGAGAACTAGGAGTAGGAGTCAGCCCCTTGAGCCTTGCTCACCATTCAATAAGACCACGTCTGATCCTTGACCTCAATTCCACTCTCTTGCCCAAATGCCACACCCATCAATGACCTCAGTGTTGAAAGATCCAGCGATTTCCATCTTGCATAGATTCAACAACTGAGCATCCACAGCTGTGGTGTTGAGGATTCTGAAGGCTCATAACTGAGTGATGAAGTTCCTCCTCATCTCAGATCTAACTGGCTGGCCTCTTCTCCTGAGGCTGTGGGACTGCGTTCCAGGGAAAACAGCCTCACAGTTGAAAATGGTGGCCACTTTAAGAATGGACCATGGCATGTTCCAGATATAACAGAGAGTAGCTGATGCTCATTGGGCTACTTAAAGGCTGGTTTTCCCCAGGGATGGGAATGGTCAGGAAGGGGAGAGAGCAGACTGGAGTTTGTATTGAACTGTGAAATACAAATAAACAGTTCTGGAAGACAGACTGATTCCGACTTTTGATAATGGATGCCTAGAAATTTAACATTAATATCTACTTTGTCAAGGCTATTCAGCAACTTAGAAGTATCAATCATGCTCATTCTTCTAAATGCTGGGGAGCACAGTGCAATTTTACTAAATCTCTCCTCATGGACCCTTCAATCAATTTAACAAACCTCTATGGCACAAACAACCCAAGCCCTGACTCACAGCGTCCCTTAAGCGACTGTCTGTGTGGAGTTTGCACGTTCTCCCCATGTTTGCGTGGATTTCCTCCCAGTGCTCTGGTTTCTTCCACAGTCCAAAGATGTGCTGGTAAGAGCGAATTGTCCATGCCAAATTGTCCTATAGTGTCCAGGGATGTGCAGGATAGGTGGATTGGCTGAGGTTAAATGGGGGGGTGTGGATATGGGTGGGATGCTATTCAGAGGGTTGGTGTAGACTTGATGGGCCAAATGGCCTCTATCTGCACTGCAGGGATTCTATGATTCTGTGTTGGAAGGATTTACTGATGGGGGGAGAATTCCATCTCAATGCTGAAAGTCATAAAATGAAGTGGGGGGGAAGATACTGATAACACAGTGGTAGTGTCCTTACCTCTGAGCGAGGAGGCTCTGGTTCAAGTCTCACCTACTCCATAGTTGTGTAACAACCTTTCTCAACAGGTTGATTAGGAAAATATCTACCTTATGGAACTCTAGCTGTGGTGTATTAGGAGTGAGATGACTGACCACCAACAACCATAATCATCCTCCTTTGTGCTATGACTATAACAGAGGAGAATTGTAGGAGCTCTCCTTAGGCAGTGATTGCGTCTCCATCTTTAAACCAGGAGACCCTGGTTCAAGTCCCACCTGCTTTAGAGGTATATACTAACAGATTGATTAAAAGTATACCTGAAGCAGGGGATATGTCTTTAAAACTGATTACAAAAAAAAATCCATTCTTGCAATTGACATTTGTTCTACATTCGATATACAAATCAGGACTGAAAGCAGTTTATTAGTTTGTTCCAGTCATTTGTCTGACCTTTCACTCTTAGCAAATTTGGCTGATGCATTTGTTTAAAAAAGGAACATTTGCAGCATTTCAAAAACTACCTCATCGACCGCAACGTGCCTCAGGATGTCTCTGTGAAGGACGGTATACAAACTGCTGCTTCTGTTTGCTTACCTGCTTGGATGAGAGGTTTGAGAGTGTGTAGAGACCGTATCTTCTGTATCAGTGAGCCACCAGTTAGTGATGGGACATCCACGGGTACTGCATCCAGTAGAGGTTCCACGGACAAGGCCATGTGATTGATGAAAGCCTCATATTCAGCGTACGACTAACAAGCAAAACACAACTCACACTTAGACATCGGAAAATATGCAACAGGGTCATTCAGACCATTACAACAGCTCCCTCTGCAACCCACATGTACCAGAGACTGACTCTCACATTTAACCATCTTTGGAGGAACTGCAAGTCGACACTCATTACCCTCCAAGGATTTTCAAACAGATATCAAATGGTATCTACCCATCCTCACATACCCAACACTCAGCCCTGACCTGCTATCCTCCATGAGGCATCTTCCAACACTCTTCTTTATGACCCAGGATGCACAGGAACCAGGATGCTTCTATCATCTCAATCTAAATGGTAATTGTTTCCTCATCCAGATGAGCGTGAGGAAATACAATAGTTCCAAAACAAAACAGAATTGGATTTATATAGCAACTATCATGACCTCAGGGTTACCCCAAAGTGCTTTGCAGCCAATGAAATACCTTTGAAGTGTGGCCAATGTTTGAACATATAAACAAAGCAACCGATTTGCGCACAGTGAGCTCCCACAAGTAGCAATGTGATAATGACCAGATTACCTGTTTCATGAGATATAAATGTTGACTAGGGGCCCTGCTCTACTGGGAAACAGTGTCATGGAATCTTGAGATAACACAGTGTGGAGCTGGAGGAACACAGCAGGCCAGGCAGCATCAGAGGAGCAGGAAAACTGACATTTCGGATCAGGAGCCTTCTTCAAAAATCTTGATCTGTACAAGCCACTGGTCTAGTCATCCCTAAAGTGCCAACACTCCTTCACCAGAAGGCTACCCTTGGTTTTGAGTTACTGTAGCTATCTTGGGTTGGGTATATTCCTACAGGTCTATCACAGGACCGCCTACCTTCAATCTTCCCAGCATGCTGTGCAACCCTTTCTTTAGAAAAAATTCTTTCATGAGATATGGGTGTCACAGGCAATGTCACCATTTGTGACCCAGTCTGAAATGCACATTGATTGAAGAGGGCTTGCTGTACCATTTCAGTAAGTCATTAACAGTCAATTACATTGCTCTGGGTTTGGAGTCACATATAGGGACCACACCAGGTACAGGTAACAGATTGTTTTCCCTAAAGGACATCCATGAACCAGATGGGTTTTGACAACAATCAATGATTGTTGCCATGGTCGCCACTGATGAGATTAGCTTTATTTTTTCAGATTTATTCAAGAAGTTCTACCCACTAGCAGCCATGATGGGATTTGAACCTGTGTTGTTTTTAAGCTATTCACAGGACATGGACATCGCTGGTTGGCCAGCATTTATTGCACATCCCTAACTGCCCTTGAACTGTGTGGCTTTCTTGGCCATTTCAGAGGGCACTTGAGAGTCAACCTCTTTGCTGTGGGTCTGGAGTCACATGTGGGCCAGTCCAGGTAAGGATGACAGATTTCCTTCCCTGAAGGGCATTAGTGAATCAAATGATTTTTCCCGACAATTGGCAATGGTTCATGGTCATCGGTGGATTCTTAACTCCAGGTTTTTTTAAAAAACTTTAATCCATATTCTACTATGGTGGCATCTGAGCCAAGGTCCCGATAACATTAGCTGAGTGTCTGGATTAATGGTCTAGTGATAATATCACTTGGCCATCACCTGTCTGCATCCCACATAGCATTAACCTGGGCTTCTGGAATACTAACCCAGCTAACATTACCACTACACTGCCATCTCCCCGGACTGTAATACTCTCATAACAAAGAAACAAAAAGCCTTCAAACGAAAATGAAACGAAAAAAACGACTTTTCTGCCCCTCAATTCCTCTAAATGCTTCTCCAGGGTTATGTCCACAAGATCATATTTCAATTCCTGGACACTCCAGGACAATTCTGGAGAGTGTGTACTCTGCTTGAGTCTGTGTGTGCACCTTGGGAGACTGACTTTTTCTGGGTTAGAAGAGAAACTATCTGTCAATTGGAGTTACCTGTGCATCTTTAGCTGAAAACTGTGCAATTTGTTTCTGGGTCTCTTCCATATTATTGCCCATCAGGAGTGAGCGAGGTGGTTTCCTTCCAACTCCATCCTCCAACATCGGAGTGAAGGAAGATGGGTTCCGGATGTGTATCTTTAATCCATGTTTCTGTCATGGGAAAAGAGTATAGACTTATGCTTGAAGGATGAATTTTTCCAATTTAACTCAATCGAGTTTGAACGAGTAGGTACAATCAGCACATGATGTCGGGATTTTGAAGTGGGGAACAGTAATGAGGTTAGGAAATTGTCAGGAAAGGAACAGGAGAAGTGTTTGGGTATGCTCGTTCAGATATCCCGAAACGGTAACAAGTTCAGCAGGTAATAGGGAGGCTAAATGGAATGTTCATCTTTATGTTGAAGGGAATGGAGACACAACAGAGCGTTGTGAATCTGTGGAATTCTTTAGTACAGAGGCTGTCGAGGCTGGGTCATTGTATGTTCAAGGCTGAGACAGACAGATTTTTAATCAGTAAGGGAATCGAACCAGGTGGGGCAAAAAAAGGAGGAAAGTGGAGCTGAGGATTATCAGATCGTACTAAATGCTGGAGCAAACTCAATGCACTGAATGACCTCCATCTGATCCTGCGTGTTATGTTCTTATGGTTTTATGCTGCTGGTGCACAGAGACAGCCTGGCTTAATGAAGGCTCCCTCACTTTTAACATCGCAAGATAAAGGGATCTGGAAACAGGTTGCACTAAAGAATGGTGGAGACAGATTCAATAATAAATGTGATAAATACTTGTAGCACAGCCAAGGACAAACACTAAAATGGAATGTGGATAACTCTTTCAAACAGTTAGCATGGAGGCAATGGGCCAAATAGCCCCTTGCTATATTGTACAATTCTATGAAATCAGTACAAAACAGGAAAACACAAGGGCCAATGGCTATGAAACTGAAACTAAGAGAAATGAGGAAGGGAACAGCCAAAATGTCCAATAGGTTTTTCAGTGTTTACAACAACCTGCATTTGCATCGCCCTTTACTGCAGTAAAATATTTGCAGGTGCAATATCAGGCAAAATTTGACACCAAACGACATAAGATGATATTAGGAAAGGCGACCAAGAGCTTGATGAAGAATAGGTTTTAAGAAATGTCTTTAAGAAGGAGACAGAGAATGGTAATGGGCCAGAAACAGAACTGAGGAATCTAATAGATTTACTTGACGTTGAGTGGCAATTGTTGTTGGGCAGACTGGAGGTTTAAGGATGTGGTAGGGAAACATGACAGAGGTTATTGGAGCCTGCTGTAAAGCCTCATTTAAATTAATTCAAGACACATTTTCATGAGGATCTGTAGAAACAAATCACTATTTGACACCTGCTGGTGTAGCAAGGAAGATGTATAGGTGGGTTGGCAATCCTCCGTAACTTAGAGCCTACAGTTCTGCATCCTTAAACAGACATACAGGAGGATTGATTAGGATGCATTAGGAAATGAAAACATGCCATAACCATCATCATTCAGCCATCATTAAGGTACAATGAAGGTACCATCTGTAAAAATATGAGTTGCAGCTAAGAGTACAACAGGTCAACAGTGAAGAAGGCGTTTGGCACGTTTTCCTTTATGGTCAGTGCATTGAGTATAGGAATTGGGATGACACGTGATGGCTGTACAGGACATTGGTGAGCCCACTTTTAGAATACAGTGTTCAATTCTGGCCACCCTGTTATATGAGTGGTGGGCGTGTGGAATGCGCTGCCCGCAATGGTAGTGGAGTCAGATACTTTAGAGACTTTTAAGAGACTCTTGGATAGGCACACGGAGGATAGTAAAATGTAGGGTATGCAGGGTAGATTGATCTTATTAGGATAATAGGTCAGCACAACATCGTGGGAAGAAGGGCCTAACTGTGCTGTACTGTTCTATGTTCTATGATACGTTCTACGAAACATGTTGTTAAATTTGAGAGGGTGCAGAAAAGATTTACAATGGTGCTGCCAGAAATGGAGGGTTTGTAGGGCTGGGGCTTCTTTCCCTGGGACATCGGAGGCTGAGGGGTGATCTTTTAAAGGTATATAAAATCATCAGGGACATGGATAGGGTGAAAAGACAAGGTCTTTTTCCTATGTTGTGGGGGAGTCCAAAATGAGAGGGCATAGGTTTAAGGTGAGGGGTGAAAGATATAAAACGGACCTGAGGGGTAACTTTTTCACGCAGAGGGTGGTGCGTGTATGGAATGAGCTACCAGAGGAAGTGGTGGAGGCTGGTACAATTACAACATTTAAAAGGCATTTGGATGGGTACATGAACAAAAAGGACTTGGAGAGATATGGGTCAAATGCTGGTAAATGGGACCAAATCTGATTGGGATGTTTGGTTGGTGTGGATGAGTTGGACCGAAAGGTCTGTTTCTGCGTTGTATGACTCTATGACTCTGGAACAGCTTGCTGCACCTGCATCCAAACATCTATCAATCTCTGTTGTGAATATAGTCAACAATGGAACATTCACAGCCTCTGGGGTTGAGAAATCCAACAATTCACAACCCTCTGAGCAAAGAAAATACCCCTCAGCTCAGTGCTTACTGGTTGCCCCCTCATCTCAAGTTCTTACCCTCTAGCTCAAGACTATCCAGTTGGGTGAGCCAGAACTTTCATATCTGCTCTGAGTCCTCGGAGAATTTTGGTGTTTCAATTTTGCTCAACTCTCGTTTTCCTAAAGCCCAGAGAACGAAGATCCATTTATACTGACAGGTGACATTTCAATGTCCCTGATGCCCCAAGGTGTTCATTGTTGGATAAGACCCTCTTCAATTTCACTTCCTCATGGTAAATGTAGAATATCACTTCAATTTGTTTGATTCCAGAACATTCTAGCACACGTCATTTCAGATTTTTGTTCCCTGAGGATGCAAATGGAACTGAAGAGTGTTGTTTACTTTCTACCTTCATAGCATGCTAGCCTACTGCCCAGGATACAAGTCCTACATCACACACAGTGTTCTTCACAAGGGGCATCAACAAGCTATTTGACTGTGGTGAGAATCTCAACACAACCCAATCTTGTGCTCAAGCCCGAGTTTCCAAACTTCATTCAGTTTTGGAGTAGGGGGTTTGCTGGTTGGTGGTCAGGAGTAGCAGCCCCAGTTTAGTCTTTCATCTTTCCTATATATGGGTTGCTTTGGTTTATGAAACACCTCAACTGTAGGCTTTGGCTGAGAGACGCTGATTCGGCCCAAATCTGGCCAGATCTGTCACATCTTGTTTTTTAATTCACCCGTGTGTTCATTGTCCATCCCTAGTGGAAGATGGTGGTGAGCTACCTTCTTGAACCACTGCAGTCCATGTGCTGTAGGTTGACACACAATGCCTTGAGGGTGAGAATTCCAGGATATTGGCCCAGCAACAGTGAAGGAACGGTGATTTATTTCCAAGTCCGGATGTGTGAGTGGTTTGGAGGGGAACTTGTAGGCAGCGGTGTTCCCATGTATCTGCTGCCCTTGTCCTTCTAGATGGAAGTGGTTGTGGGTTTGGGAGGCACTGTCTGAGGATCTTTGGTGAATTTCTGCAATGCATCTGGTGGATAGTACACACTGCTGCTACTGAGCGTCGGTGGTGGAGGGGATGCTTGTGGATGTGATGCCATTCAAGTGGGCTGCTTTATCCTGGAGGATATCAAGCTTCTTGTGTGTTGCTGGAGCTGTACCCATCCAGGAAAGTGGGAAGTAATCTAACTCACTCCTGACTTGTGCTTTCTAGGCAGTGGATAGGCTTTGGGGAGGAAGGAGGTGAGTTACTTACTGAAGGATTCCGAGCCTCTGACTTGTTCAGGATACTTTTTCCACAGTCAAGATTTATTTTCTTAAAAGAAAGCTGCCTCACCTTCAGCTCTAAATCTTTGTAGATCTGAGGTCTCAGCAAACTGAGCACATAAGATGCACGGGAAAACTTGAAACCTGCAGTGTTAAAAGCACACCATCAGATACGTAAACGGCATTAAAACAACTCTCATTTCTGGCTATGTAACTGCGGCATTTCATTCTGAATATGCTGTGCTCATCACAAAATGTTTCCTTTTTTTTAAAAATGTCAGTGAACACAAAAAGCATCAACAAGCTCTAAACTGCAGGCCTGGGCTGCAGAGGATAAACCCTCAACTTGCAGATGACTCAATATTTCTTGCACTTGCATTTAACAGCAATAGATGTGAGGGCAATTGTTAATTTTAAATCTGGGACTGATAATTTTTTGATGATAGTACATCGGGTCGGCACATCAAAACCTAATAAACATCAAAACATAGAAAACAGGAACAGGAGTGGCCTTTCAAGTCTGCTTCTCCATTTAATCTGATCATCCAACTCGGTGTTCTGTTCCCGCTTTCTCCCCATGCCCTTGATCCCTTACGCCTGAAGAACCAAATCGAACTCCCTCTTGAAAGCTTTCAATGTTTTGGCCTTAATTACTTTCTGTTTTAGTGAATTCCACAGGCTCACCACTCTCTGGGTGAAGAATTTTTTCCTCATCTCAGTCCTAAGTGGCCTACCCCTTAAAATGTGACCCTTGGTTTTCAGGAACATCCTTCCTGCGTTTACCCTGTGTAGTCCTGTTAAAAATTTATAGGTTTCTATGAGATCTACCTCATTCTTCTAACCTCCAGTGAATACAATCCTAACTAATCCAGTCTCTCTGGGGCCAGGCTATAGGACACCCACTGGGCTTGGGCTGGGAGCTGTGGAACCAGGGCAGGAGCAGCGTTGGTGCCTGGGATTTCTCTCCATACCTGTGATTAGAAAGTTGGGGCACAGCCAATATATGGCCTTAAGATAATAAATTGGAGCAAGAGAAGGCCGTTCAGTCCCTTGGGTCTACTAAGCCATTCAACAAGACCACAGCTGACTCCCTACCTCAACTCCACTTGCTCCATTATAACCTTTCATCCCCAACTACCAAATAAAAGCTATTCTTACCTGGCCTGACCTACATGTTACTCCATTCCTACAGCAATGTGGTTGAATCTTAACTGCCCTCTGGACTAATTAGGGATGGGCAATAAACTCTGGCCTAGCTCAGTGAAGCCTACATCCCATGTACAAATTTGCTAAACATTTCCTCACCTAGTCAATATTTACCTTCAGTTCCCTGGGTTTAGTTTAATTGGCTTAAGTCATTGGTTGCAGAGTGCTTTGAGAGGTCCAAGCAATTAGCAGGTAGCTGGACTTTTGGAACTTAAATGTACTAGTTACTTCACTAGTCCAATGTGTCTGTTATTTAATTACTGTGTTCTATTTTCCCAGACTTTCAATAAGATAGTCCTTTATCTAAACTCATGTATGATGAGAGATAGTAGGAACTGCAGATGCTGCATACATGACGACAAGGTGCAGGGCTGGATGAACACAGCAGGTCAAGCAGCATCATAGGAGGAGAGAGGCTGACGTTTCGGGCCTAGACCCTCTGATGAAGGGTCTAGGCCCGAAACGTCAGCCTTTCTGCTCCTATGATGCTGCTTGACCTGCTGTGTTCATCCAGCTCTACACCTTGTTGTCATGTATGATGACTTGCTTCTGAAGAGCTCCCTCTGATGGACATATGTTCAATTACATGATAGACATTGAGTCATAGAGTCATACAGCACAGAAACAGACCCTTTGGCCCAACCAGTCTATGCCAAACACAATCCCGAACTGAATTAGTCCCGCCTGCCTGCTCCTGGCCCATATCCCTCCAAACCTTTGCTATTCATGCACTTATCCAAATGTCTTTTAAATGTTGTAATTGTACCACATGTACCACTTCCTCAGGACGTTTATTCCACACGCGAACCACCCTCTGCGTAACAAAATTGCCCTCATATCTTTTTTAAATCTTTTTCCTCTCATCTTAAAAATTTGCTCCTTAGACTTGAAATCCCCTATCCTAAGAAAAAGACAACTACCATTAACTCTATCTGTACCCCTCATTATGTTATAAACTTCTATAAGATCGCCTCTCAACCTCCTGAAAAAAGCCCCAGCCTATCCAGCCTTTCTTTATAACTCAGACCTTCCATACCCGGGAAAAAAGCCCCAGCCTATCCAGCCTTTCTTTATAACTCAGACCTTCCGTACCCGGGAACATCCTATAAATCTCTTCTGAGCCCTCTCCAGCTTAATAATATCCTTCCTATAACTGGGTGGTCAAAATTGGACACAATGTTCCAGAAGAGGCCTCACCAATGTCCTCAGCATGACTTCCTAACTTCTATACACAAAAGACTGAGCAATGAAGGCAAGCATGCCAAATGCCTTTTTAACCATCCTGTCTATATGTGATGCAAACTTCAAAGAATTATGTACCTGAACCCTTAGGTCCCTCTATTCTACAACAATACCCAAGACCCTAGCATTAACTGTATAAGCCCTACCCTTGTTTGTTGTACCAAAATGCAATACCTCAGATTTATCCAGATTGAAGTCCATCTTCCATTAAATTTGTATTTGTATTAAAACAGAAAGTACAGGAGAAACTCAGCAGCTCTGGCAGCATCTCTGGAGAGAGAATTAGAGATAATGCTTTGAGTTCAGTATGATTGTTCTTCAGAAGTGATAGGGGCTAGAAGAGTGATGGTTTTTATATTGTAGATAAACAGCGGGGTGGAGAAGTAAGTGGAATAGATAGGAAAGATGTCCCAGAGCAAAAGACAATGGTTATATTATTAACAGTAGTGAAGAGGTGAAATTGATGAAGAGTTGGGTTTACAGCAGAAAATCAATCACCCCTCTTCAGATCCAAAGAATAGTTGCATTTGACTTGTAACGTTAACTCTGTTTCTCTCTTCATGGATTTTGCCAGATCTGTTGAGTTTCCCCTACACTTTATTTCTGTTTATATTTCTGATCTCCAGCATCCACAGTTTTTTGTTTTTATTTTAGGCTTACACTAAAACAGTTGCTTTCAGCACTTCAGAAGTCGCAATATGGTTCACAGCCAATGAGGTGTTTTTAGAGTGAGGCACTATAGTAATGTAAAGACCGCAATAGAACAAACAATGAATTTGCATTCAGCAGATTCCACCAAACAGCACGGTAATAATGAGCAGACGTTGAGGGTCAGTTGGCTTAGTTGTCTAACCAATTGATTTGTAATGCAGAATATTGACCACAGTGTGGGTTCAGTTACCATGCTGGCTGAGGTTACAATGAAGGATTATCTTTCTCAACATCTCCCCTCACTTCAGGTGCTGTGACCAATCATCTCTCTTTAAGAAAGGTATCCTATGGTCACTTCACCTTTAATGACCAGACAATCTGTTTTGGTGAAGTTGGCTTAAATGGGTAGTAGAGATGGGAACCATTAAGGTATTTAAGAGGTATTCAGATGAACACTTGAAACGACACAGCACACTAGGCTACAGGTCAATCATTGGAAAATGGGATTGGAATAGATGGATATTTGATGACCGGCATGGACATGATGGACTGAAGGTCCTCTTAACTGTGCTGTAAAACCATTAATAGCTGACAATGGGATGGGATGGTAGCTGGAAGAACAGCATCTCATTCTTCACTTGGGGATCCAGCAGCCTTTGAGACTCAATACTGAGTTCAATAATTTTAGGACTCGAGCACCTTCTCCCATGCTCTTAGCCCAACCCCCACACACCAGGCCGTGTCATCACACAGGTAGCTACCACAAACAACCCGTTGTCAGCTATTAACAGCTCCCATTAGCAGCTACTGATTCTCCCAGGCTGACCTTTACCCACTCCTTTATCTTCCCAACTGCTGTTCTCGCTCTCTGCGCTCCAGCACCACCTACATTTGCTCCTATCCCCCACCCCATCTTTAGCGTATGCCATCCTTTTCCTAGCAACAATCAGATCTGAGGAAGGGTCACTGGGCCTGAAACGTTAACTCTGCTTTCTCCCCACAGATGCTGCCAGACCTGCTGAGATTTCCCAGTATATTTCTGTTTTTGTTTCTGATTCCCAGCATCCACAGTTCTTTGTTTTTATTTGCTTAGTAGTTTCGGAAGGTGCTGTTGGTTGAGCCTTGCTGAATTACCATCGAGTCTTTGTCAGCCACTATATTGTGTGAGCTGTCCAGCCCAGCACTCTCAAACTCAGTCTCTGGGTGACTCTCAGGGAAAGAGATGGCCTCTTTTGTGGCATATGCAGCATTTAGAAAAACAAAACAAATTTGCAAGGTTTGAAATTCCCAGCATGAGATTTTGAAGTAGGCTCAGAAATGGTACCCCTTGTAACATATTAGCAAAAGTTGCCAGATCTGTACAGAGGGCCAGAAGATGATGGATTCTGTGTTCAAGCAATAGAATAAGCTGATGGGGCCATTCTCATGTAAGCCTATCTTATAAGGGGAGGTGATGGTATAATAGTAATATCACTAGACTAGTACCAAGAGGCACAGGTAAATGCTGTGGGGACATGGGTTCAAATGTCACTCCAAAAGCTGGTAAAATGTAAATTCAACTAATAAATCTGAAATTAAAAAGTAATCTAAGGATGACCATTGTCAATTGTTGTAAAAACCCATCTGGTTCACGAATGTCCTTTAGGGAAGGATATTACCTGGTCAGGCCTAAATGTGACTCCACACCCACAGCAACGTGCTTGACTCTTAACTGCCCTCTGAAATGCTTCAGATCAAGGGCAATTAGAGAAGTAATGCCAACATTCCAAGAATAAATTTCAAACAAGAGTAACAATCATTAATTTGTCAGTGACTGGAACTTTTTTCCCATGGGAAATGAGCATCATTGGCATTGCCACCTTTTATTACCCATTTCCAGTTGCATTTGGGAAGATGGCATTAGGATATCCTTAGTGTACCATCCATAGCTCAGTTGACAGTGCTCTCCCTCTGAGCTACAAGGTACAATGTTCAAATCCCACTCCAGCACTTGAGCTCAAAAGCCAAGGCTGACACTGGGATAAAGCTGCTGTGTGGTGGGCATTAAACCAAGGCTCCATCCACTCTTTTAGGTGGATCTAAAAGATTGCATGGTGTTGTCCGAAAGTAAGACAGCTATTCACAGAGTCCAGCCCAATATCTCTCAATCATTAAAAACACCAGACACTGCTGCCTGAGGGAGCTTGCTATGTACAAACTGCCCACCACATTTTCCAAATTATAACAGTGACAACACTTCAAAAGCAAAGTGCTCTGACATGCCTGTTGGGGTGAAAGATGCTAGACAAATGCATGTGCTTCTTCTATTCTCAAATGGTTGCAGTCCCACCTCCTGAACAATATTGTTAGGAAAGAGGTCTTAGGGTCTTTACCCAGTGGGAGTGAAGGGATGTTGAGATATTTCCAAGTTGGGATGATGTGAGACTTGATGCCCTTGTCCTTCTAGATGGCAGAACCTAGAAAGGCTCCTTGCTTGCAGGTCATAGGGTCATACAGCACGGAAACAGACCCTTCGGTCCAACTCATCCATGCCAACCAGGTTTCCCAAACTAAACAAGTCCCATTTGCCTGTATTTGGCCCATTTCCTTCTGAACTTTTCCTATTCATCTGTGTGCCCAAATGTCTTTTAAATGTTCTAACTGTTCCCGCATCCACCTTTTCCTCTGGCAGTTCATTCCACACATGCACCACTCTGTGTGTAAAAAGTTTGCCCCTCGCGTCCTTTTTTAAAACTTTCTCCTCTCATCCTAAAAATATGCTCCCTAGTTTTGAACTATCCCACTCCAGGGAAAAGATCTTTGCTATTCACCTTATCTTTGCCCCTCATGATTTAATAAAGCTCTATAAGGTCACCCCTCAACCTCTTACCCTCCAATGAAAGGAGTCCCCTATCAAAGTTGCTGGAAAAGCTCAGCAGGTCTGGCAGCATCTGTGGAGGGAAAAACAGAGTTAACGTTTCGGGTCCGGTGACCCTTCCTCCAGCCTATCCAGCCTCTCCTTATAACTCAAACCCTCTAGTCCCAGCATCATTCTTGTAAATCTTTACTGCACCCTCCCAAATTTAATAACATCCTTACGGAAACCACAGGAGGTGCTTCTACTCAGTGTGCCTGGGGGCTGCCCCTACCTGGAATGAGCTCCTCTGTCACAGCAGCCCCACCGATGACATGGCGCTTCTCTAACACGGCCGTGTTCACTCCAGCTTTCTGTAGGTACGTTGCCTGCAAAGGGACAAGTGATAAGTTTATTCCAGTCTCTGCACTATTCTGCTTTTCAATTAGTCAGACTTCAACAGAGTTTGCCGACATGCACACCTGAAGATCAGAACTGGAGATACAATTGCAAAACTTTCTTAAAGAATGCTGCACAGACATCAAATAAGTGAGCATCTCTGGGACAACCACATGGAACCAGCAAGGGTTTATTAAAGTTAAACTGTGTTTCACAGACTCAATGCAGTATTTTTGAAGAAGAGGATGCATAAAGGGCAGGTGGTAGAGGGGTTTTTCATAAAGTGGGATACAAAAAATATGATAGCTCTCTGTACAAAAATTCAAAAGAACTTTGGTTAAGCCACAGCTAGAATACTGCATAGAATTTGATCACCTTATCAAAGGAGGGATGTGATTGCACTGAAGGGGTGCATAGAAGATTCACCAGGATGTTGCCTGGGATGGAGCAGTTTAGTGACAAAGGGAGGCTGAATAAGTTCAGGATGTTGCTGGGAATGGAGCATTTGAGTTATAAGGAGAGGCTGAATAGGCTGGGGCTTTTTTCACTGGACCATAAGAGGTTGAGAGGTGACCTTATTGAGGTTTATAAAAAAATGACGGGTATAGATAAGGCGAATGGCGGGTGTTTTTTCCCTAGGGTGGGGTATTTCAAGACTAGGGACATATTTTTAACGCGAGAGGAGAAGGATTTAAATAAACATGAGGGGCAATTTTTTTTACATGGAGTGGTTCATGTGTGGATTGAACTTCCAGAGGAAGTGATGGATGTGGTGATGGAAATGATGAATATTTAAAAGACATTTAGTTAAGTACATGAATAAGAAATGTTTGGAGGGATATAGGCCAAGTGCAGGCAAGTGGGACTAGTTTAGTTTGGGATTATGATGGGCACGGACTGGTTGGACCAAAGGGTCTGTTTTCATGCTGTATGACTCTATGACTCAGGTTGTTTTCTCTGTAGCAGCGAGGGGACCTAATTGAGTTGTATAACATTATGGAGGGGCATGGACAGGATGAATAGAAAGCAGCTTAGTCAAATGGTCAAGAACAAGGTGCTACACTGTTAAAGTGGAAGACAGGAAGTTTATAGAGGATTTGGGGGAGCAAGGTTTTAACCAGAAGATGGTGGGGGTCTGGAATGCACTGCCTGGGAGCATAGCTTATACAGGAACCCCTACAATCTATAAAAATGTATGTGATGAACATTTGAAGTGTCATAACATTGAAGGCTATAAGCCCTGTGTAGGAAAGTGGGACTAATGTATCTAGGAGGATATTATTTGGTAGATTCGACTTGATGGGCCAAGACACCTCTTCTTTACTGTAGGATTCTATGATTTTAAAAACTTTATAAGAAAGACAGGCGAGCAGGAGGTGGTTGGCAAGTGTTTCCCTTAGGTATATTCAGGCCTGAGGAAGTAGGCACCACTGGTATTTATCAGCCATTCCCCAGTCCTCATGGGGAAAGATTATGCAGGGTCTTCTCCATAAACTGCTGAAGTCAATGTCGAGTTTTTTGTGCAAGTTATTCCGTGCGGTGGTTTAAGGACAGAATTTCTTGCTACTACATTTCAGAGGGAAGGCGAGAGTCTATGACAGCCGCATGGATTTATGTGAAAGCCAAGACAGCAGGTTTTCTTCCTGGAGAAAGACATTGTCTCACTAACTTAACTGAGTTTTTTGAAGAAGTAACGAAGAGGAGTGACAACGAAGAGGGCAGAGCAGTGGACATGATCTATACGGACTTCAGTAAGGCGTTCAACAAGGTTTCTCATGGTAGACTGGTTAACAAGGTTAGATCACATGGAATGCAGGGAGAACTAGCCATTTGGATACAGAGCTGGCTCATAGGTAGGGGACAGAGGTTGGTGGAGGAGGGTTGCTTTTCAGACTGGAGGCCTGTGACCAGCAGTGTGCCATGAGGATCGGTGCTGGGTCATTTATATAAATGATTCGGATGTGAACATAGGAGGTATGGTTAGTAAGTTTGCAGATGACACTAAAAATAGAGTTGTAGTGGACAGCAAAGAAGGTTAGCTCAGAGTACAACAGCATCTTGACCAATTGGGCCAATGGGTTGAGGAGTGGCAGATGGAGTTTAATTTAGATAAATGTGAGGTGCTGCATTTTGGAAAGGCAAATCAAGGCAGGACTTATACACGAAATGGTAAAGTCCTGTTGCTGAACAGAGACCCTGGAGTGCAGGTTCATAGTTCCTTGAAAGTGGTGTTGCAGGTAGTTAGGATAATGAAGATGATGTTCGTTGTGTTTGCCTTTATTGGTCAGTGCATTGAGAATAGGAGTTGGGAGGTTATGCAGCTGTAGAGGACATTGGTTAGGCCACTATTAGAATACTGCATGCAGTTCTGGTTTTCCTGCTATAGGAAAGACATTGTGAAACTTGAAAGTGTTCAGAAAAGATTTACAAGGATGTTGCCAGGGTTGGAGGGCTTGAGGTAAAGGGAGAGACTGAACAGGCTGCGGCTATTTTCCCTGGAGCATCTGAGGCTGAGGGGTAACCTTACAGAGGTTTATAAAATCATGAGGGGCATGGATAGGGTAAATAGACAAGGTCTTCTCCAAGGGTTGGGGGAGTCCAATACTTGAGGGCATAGGTTTAGGGAGAGAGGGGAAAGATTTAAAAGAGACCTAAGGGCTATATTTTTCGCACAGAGGGTGGTGCGTGTATGGAATGAGCTGCCAAAGGAAGTGGTGAAGGCTGGTACAATTACAATATTTAAAAGGCATATGGATGGATGGATGAATAAGAAGGGCTTAGAGGGATATGGCAAATGCTGGCAAATGGGATTATATTTATTTAGGATATCTGGTCGGCATGGACAAGTTGGACCGAAGGGTCTGTTTCCGTGCTGTACAGCTCTATGACTCTATTACCACCTGAAACCATCTGGTTCATTTAATCAGACAGCTTCAGTGTCACATTTCAAAACTCGGTTTTACATCTAGATAAAATCCAATTCAAAGTCTCCAACTCATTCAAGTGCTTGGGGAGAGTTTCAAAAACATAAAATTAATCATGAACCTGCACAATTATGCAGTGAAATTGGTTAAAATATATTATATTCTGCCCCTTTCTATTAATAAAGTATTCCTTGATGATTTTAAGACAGTAATCTGGATCTACTGACCTGGAGCAGTATTATTTCTTCATTTAAAAAATGGAATTATCCCCAAAGATAAGTACCTTGAACTAGTCTCCAGCTCCATAACCTGTAAGTAACCTAATTTAAAGAATAAATCTCTCCTGAACCATATGATCATTTCATCGGTGTACACCAGTCAATTCCAAATTTCTATTTTGATAATGACGAACTTCTAAAACATCTTTTACTAGTGCCTGTGCATCTTATAAAAATTAGACAATTTAGAACAGCCTTCTTGAACAAATGCATCTTATATCGGGCAAGGGGCTGAACCTCACTTGTGTTCCTTGTATTTTGAAATTCGTGTAAAAATTCACTGAAAATGTGAGTTCAGATTATTTTGTGCATAACTCACTTATATTTAAATTTCTGAAGAAGAGTCCTGCCAGACTTAAAACATAAACTGTGTTTCTCTCTCCACCGTTGCTGCCAGACTTGCTGAGTTTCTCCAGTGTCCTCTGTGTTTGTTTCAGATTTCCAGCATCCGCATGTATTTTGCCTTTATTAGGGTGGATGGAAAGTTGGCTGACGACAAGGAGCAAAGTGTAAAAAGAAAACTGAAAAGCTGGATACCGCAGATGTCGGAAATGGGAGAGAAAGATGGAAAATAACTGTTTGCATGTCAGGCAGTATCAGTGGAGAAAGAACTCAGAGCTCACATTTTGTTTTGATGATCTTTGTCACAACCAAATGAAAGGTCAGCAGCCTGAAAGGTCTCTCTCTCCTCGGAAGCTGCCAGACTTGTTGAGTATCCCCAGTATTTTCAGTTTTTTTTTAATCAAAGCGTTTAAATCAATGGGTGCTGCTCTGATGGAGAGCAGATTGGAAATTGATACACTTTAGGGGAGCAACTCTGGTCTCACTTTTCTTCTCAGTGTACAGAGGTCTTGGATTTGGTGACAGAATATTCTTGGCTATAGAATATATAGAATTTAGCATTTCACAAACAATGATGGTTCAAAGTGATCCAGCAGGTCACAGGTACAACTTAATGCATGAGGAAAAAAGGAATACAGTTGTCAATGGTAAGATGTTGCAGATTATATGTGAGAAACTTAGAGAGAGACAGAAGGGCTCAGGTAGATCAATAATTAAATGTAAGCGCAGGTACATTAAAAACATAAAAAGACAAACAAAATAAAAAAGAAACAGAATTTTCAATTTTATAAACAGGAAGATTTCAAGGGGTTTGAGTGAAGTTATAATATTTCATCAAAGTACAGTGTGCAAGTTATCGATGTTGCAGAACGTGGGCGAAGGTGGGGCACTAAGAAGATTTGAGATTTCCCCCATTGGAACAATAAGGCTAAGAGAACATTAGTTATACTTCTTTGTGTTTTGATGCAGCTTCCCCATTCTGTGTAGTGGGGGATCACTGGTGCAGCCATGTGTTTAAATTCATCTGCGACAAAACTGCACCAAAAACAAGATTATTAATCCAGGCATGGAGTTGATGTTCTAAGGACCGGGGTTCAAATCCTACCATGGCAGGTGGTAGAATTTGAATGCAACAATAATCTGAAATTGAAAGTCTATTGATCACCACGAAGCCACTGGCGATTGTCTAGAAAATCTGTCTGGTTCACTAATGTCCTTTAGGGAAGGAAATCTGCCGTCCTTTCCTGGTCTGACCTACTCGTGACTCCAGACCCACGGCAATGGGGTTGTCTTTTAACTGTCCTCTAGGCGATAAATGCTGACCTAGCCAACAAAGCTCACATCCCAATTAACTTCTTCTCTAACTTTCTTTAAGAAGCTTAAGACTGTAATATTTAACTTTTAACTTTGTTTCTTTATTTTTCTACTTTGTCCTTAACATTTTGTATTTAGGTATCTTTGTACCTAAGATAGCACTGGGAATGGCAACATTGTACACTTTTCACTGCTCTCCTGTACTTCCGTACTGGAGTACACATGACAGTAAAATTTAATTCTAATTCTGAATTGCTCACCCATAAATTCTATCGTAGCACACAAAGCTCTGGATGGTCAGTCAACCTCAGTAAAGATCTAGAATAGGTTCATGTTACGGGTGTGGGCAAACAACCTCAAAGTGGGTTCAGATAGAGTCCAACGAGGTTACCATGGTGATTAATCTATCTTTTCCAGCATGAAAGTGACTTTAATGTTTGAGCATTATAGTCAGACTGAGCAAAGTAATGCAAAGTTTGGACTGATGTAAGGAATAATACATAATAGTGATCACTACTTGGAATGAAAATTAACTTCTCTCACTTTCTTTAAGAAGCCTAAGACTGTAATATTTAACTATTAACTTTGTTTCTTTATTATTCTACTTTGTACCTAAGATTTTGTACTTAGGTATCTTTGTCCCTAAAATGGCACTGGGAATGGTGACATTGTACACTTTTCACTGCTCTCTTGTACTTCCATACTTGAGTAAACATGACAGTAAAATCTAAATCTAATTCTAAATTCTAAGAGCTGCTGGTTATATTACAGGAGATGAAGTGTAGTGATAAGGTGAAGTTTTGCATCCAACAGAATCACTACGGTGCAGCCAGAAGGCACACTCTTTCACAGCACAATTAGAAAAGTTTGGTTTGTCTGAATTCCACGAGAATAAGATTAAGTGTTCAGATTTACCCAAATCACTCACCCATAAATTCTACCGTAGCACACAAAGCTCTGGATGGTCAGTCAACCTCAGTAAAGATCTAGAATAGGTTCATTTTACAGGTGTGGGCAATCAACCTGAAAGTGGGTTCTGACAGAGTCCAATGAGGTTACCATGGTGATTAATCTATCTTTTCCAACATGGAAGTGACTTTAATGTTTGGGCATTACAGCTAGACTGAGCAAAGTAGGAAAATGCAAATTTTGGACTGATGTAAGGAATAGTACATAATAGTGATCTCTACTTGGAATAAAGGGGTCAGAATCAGGAATCATTTAAAAGGCCAATGAATGCTGGAATGGTGGAGTGTGCTAAAGTCCAAATGGATTTATTCACTTATGAGACATGGGCGTCTCTAGCTGGCCAGCATTTATTGCCCGTCCCTAGTTGCCCTTGAGAAGATGGTGGTGAGCTGCCTTCTTGAACCGCTGCAGTCCATGTGCTGTAGATAGACCCACAATGCTGGTAGGGAAGGAGTTCCAGGATTTTGACACTGAAGGAGTGGCGAAATATTTAGAAGTTGGGATGGTGTGTGAATGGCTTGGAGGGGAGCTTGCAGTTGGTGTGTTCGCATGTAACTGCTGCCCTTGTCTACATCGCCTTTCTCATCTCTAATTATCTTGCAAATTCCACTTCCTTTCATTGTGTGATAGCCACTTTGACTTCTGTTTCCTGTTATCTTTTCCCTTTACTCGAGGTGCCTCCTGTCTCTGGCTGAGGCTCAATCTGCCAAAGGCCATGTGCTATTCTTTCCAATGCCTGGAGCTGACCATCCAGGAATCCGGAGACCAGTCTAGTTCCATCATTGCCACATGAAGCCTCCCCACCTGATTTTCCATCCCAACTGCCCAAGATTTACAAGTGAGCTAGACAGCCCCTGTCAGACTTAGCAGCATATGGCCATGTGGCCCAGGTTTAACATTCTGGGGATTTCCCAAACACAGGAAAGACTGAAACATCAATGTAATAAGCATTAAAATGCTAGCAGAAACAAAGACAAGAAAGTTGTACGTACAGCTATAAGCCCATTGTGACCTGGGGAAATAAAGGAAAATAAGATGTTCATTTTCTTATTATTTAAATGCAGATAATACTATGCAGATCAGAAGCCAAATAGTCTGTTTTAGCAGCATCATATATCATAAACGAACAACGCTTATATAAAAGCAAAATACTAGAAATCCAAAACTGACACAGAAAATGTTGAAGAGACTCGGCAGGTCTGGTAGCAGTCACAGAGAGTGAAACACGCAGGGCTCAAAACATTAACTCTGTCTCTCTATCCACAGACCTGCTGAGATTATCCAGCATTTTCTGTAGTTGCAATGCATTTATGTAGTGCCTTTATCATGGGAAAATATTCCTAGTTGCTTCCCATAAACGTGGACTAAAAATTGACACCAAACCAAAGGAACAGACACTCGGACAGGTCTCCGAAGCTTGTTTAAAGATGTAGGTATTAAGTAGGGTCAGAAGAGAAGGGAGAGACGGAGGTAGAGAGGTTTAGGTAATGAATTCCAGTGCTTAAAACCAAAAGGTTGAAGGGATAGCTGCTAATGTTAGGGAGAAGGAAGTAAGGGTAGGCACAAGAGGACAAAGTTATAGGAAGGCAAGGTTACTGAACTAGGGATTGGCAAATTATGCTGTTATGTAGACAAAAGAGGCAGCTATTCTGCACTTGTGGCATCCTCCAAACAGCACTGGGATAAGCAATTGATTTATCTGTTTTCTGATACCAATAGATGAAGGAGAAATGTTTACCAGACAATTGAGGAAATCTTTGTCCTTCCTTGAAATTCCCATGACATGTTTAGCTGCAATAGTAGTGAAGAAAATAGTTAAGGGAAAAATCAACTGTGGGAGCAGATTATAGGCCTCCTTATAGTAATGACAGTGTAAGACAGGGTTCACAGGAAGAAATAAGGGGTGCTTCTATGAAAGGTACAACAATTATCATGGGTAATTCCAATTGACACATAGATTGAATGAATTAGCTTGGTAAAAATAGCATGAAGAAAATGAGTCAATAGAATATTTTAGGACAATTGCTTAGAACAGCATGTTCTAGAGAGCATGGGGCAGCATGGTGGCTCAGTGGATAGCACTGCTGCCTCACAGCACCAGGGACCCGGGTTCTATTCCACCCTCAGGTGACTGTCTGTGTGGAGTTTGCACATTCTCCCCGTGTCTGCATGGGTTTCCTCCCACAGTCCAAAGATGTGCACATTAGGTCAATTGGCCATGCTAAATTGCCCGTAGTGTTCAGGGATGTGTAGATTAGGTGGGTTATAGGGGGACGGGTCTGGGTGGGATTCTCTGAGGGTCGGTGTAGGCTCGTTGGGCCAAAGGGCCTGTTTCCACACAGTAGGGATTCTATGATTCTAATATCGAAAGAGCAGGCTGGGAGTGTGCAATGATGTAGGATGAATTAATGCATCATAGTAAAGAATCCTTTGCATAGCAGTGATTATTATGTGTTTGAATTTTGCATTCAGTTTGAGGAAGGTCTAAGATTAGTTTATCAATTGTAAATAAGAGCACTCTAGGAATAAGGACAGAGCTGGCTAAAATGAATTAGTAAGATAGGAAGAGGTAGGTCGGTAGAAATACAGCGGCAGTTGGTTAAGGAGATATTGCATAGACATCAGTGAAGATACATTCTAGTGAGAAAGAAAACCTCTAGATGGTGGATACACCATTTGTGGCTAAGTAAGTAAGTTAAGGACAGTATCAAATTGAAAGAAAAATTGCACAATTCTGCAAATATTAATGGTAAGATTGAATAAAAGAGTAAGTAAAGTAAGCATAAATCCTCTAGAAAGTGAGTCTGGAAATCAGTACTTTTTCACACAGAGAGTGGTGCATGTATGGAATGAGCTGCCAGAGGAAGTGGTGGAGCCTGGTACAATTATAATGTTTAAAAAGCATCTGCATGGATATATGAATAGGAAGGGTTTAGACTGTTATGGGATTAGATTAATTTAGGATATCTCTTGGGTATGAATGAGCTGGACCCGAAGGGTCTGTTTCCATGCTGTACATCCCCACAACTCTACTGGGAAATAAGTAATTAAGGCAGAAGCATTAAACATATTTTCTGTCGGTTTTCACTGTAGAAGATGCAAATAATATAAGATATACACATTATTTGAGAAGTTAAACGGTGAGAACAGCTCAAACCAATGATAATCACCAGAGAAAAGATGCTGAGAAAACTATTAGCACCAAAGGCTGTTACAGTATCAGGACCTGATGGTCTTCATTCATCGAATGATAAAGTAAGAGGCTGCTGAGGTAGTAGATACATTATTTTGAATTTTTCAAAATTCTTTTTACTCTAGAAGGGTCCCAACAGATTGGAAATAGTAAATTTAACTCCTCAATTCAGGAAAGGAGGGAGACAGAAAGCAGGAAACAACAGGCCAATTGGCTTAACATCTATCAGATGGAAAATGCAGGAATCTATTATTAAAGAAGTTACAGTAGGGCACTTTGACAATCTGAATGCAATTAAGCAGAGTCAACATGGTTTTGTGAAAGGGAAACCATATTTGATTAATTTATGAGTTCTTTATTAAAGTAACAAGTAAGATGAATGCAGGAGAAACTGTAGATGTTGTGCACTTAAATTTCCAAATGTTTGTGATAAGGCCCACATCAAAGGTTATTATAAGAGCTCATACTGTAGGGACATACTGTCATGAACAGAGGACTAATTAACTGACATAATGCAGATACAAGGGTGAAATGATCATTTCATACAATTGGCCATTGCTTAAAATGACTAAAGATTTACCTACAGGAGTATCACAGGAATCAGTGCTACAGAATCAACTAGTTACTATCTATGAAAATGACTTGGACGAAGATGCAGTTGTTAAATTTGCTAATGACAAAAAGATATTTAAGAGAGTACATTGACAGGACAGATAAGCTCAATGAGTCGGGGAGAAATGGCAGATAGAGGAATGTGTGGAAAAATGTCAACTCGCCCACTGAAGCAGAAAAGCAGCTCATTTTTTAGAGATTGCAGGCTCTGTGATGCAGAGGTAGTTGGAAGCGCTGTGATGTGATATATGACTGAAACATAATAACCACCTAAATTTATCAGTGTCATTTCAGATCAAGGGGAATATCAGTGAGCGTGCGTTACACACCACCTCAAAACAAAATAATTGTAGTTGGGCCGGATTCTTGTGCTCAATCTGGTGACGAATGTGCAGCATGGTATCACAGTTTAAAGCCCCTTTACTTGGAATGTGATAAACTCTGTACTGGGTTCGGAATCCACTCGCTCCCCTTCACATCGCTATTTCACCAGGATTTTTTCAGATTACCTCCGCCTATAACCACAGCGTCGTACTGAGGCCGGAGTGTCGCTTCGGAACTCCAGCTTCTGTTGACAGAGGCGTTCAGAAGGACATTGCAAATCCTGCACCGGACTGAAGCGATCGCCATTGTAAATTAATCTTCTGCAGAAAATAAAGTTTCACTGTAACCAGAATCCAACAGGAGGAGATACTATGGTTCCGTCCAGGGGCGGACCTGAAATAGGCGACACCCCTTCTACTGTTTATTTTTAACCATAATTGTTTCAGAGTAGAGCGACACTGAACCATTAATTTCACGAGTTTAAAGCGTGTAAGAGAGAGGCAAATTTTATTTGAGGTCATGGGAAAACTCTGCTGCCCGTTGTCTAAACTGGCATCATGTCTCCTCCCCCAATCATCCTGTATTCCCTGGCCTGCCATTCATGTCTAGACTATAAAATTGTCATCCTTTTTAAATTCCCCCATGGCCTCATCCGTCCTTGACTCTCTGAACTCCTTCCAGCCCTATATCCTCTCCAGAATTACCATGGGCCAGAAACAGACCGAGGAATCCTGCACCAAGTATTTAGCCTCCTAACTCCCCAAGGCCTCTATAAGACACAACCTGCATCTACCACCTTTGTGAAGTGATGACCATCTCCAACAAAAGGGAATCTGATTGTACGTCCTTGACATTTAATGACATTTCCATTATGGAATCACTCACTATCACTATTTTGGGGCATTCAATTGACCAGAACTTGAGCTGGACTAGTCATATAAATATAGTGGTTACAAAAGATCATGCTAGAATCATGCAGTGAGTAACTCATAAAAACCTGACCACCATCTTGCAAGGCACAAGTCAGGAGTGTGATGGAATACTCCCCACTTGCCTGGATGAGTGCAGCTACAATGACATTTGAAATGCATGACACAGTTCTGAGGAAGGGTCATTGGACTGGAAATTTTAGCTCTGATTTTTTCTTCCCAGATGCTGCCAGACCTGCTGAGCTTTTCCAGCAACTTCTGTTTTTGTTCCTGATTTACAGCATCTACAGTTTTTTCGGTTTTTATTCAGGACAAAGCAGCCCACTGGACTCACACCACATCCACAGACAATCATTCCCTCCACCACTGACACTCATTGCAGCAGTGTTTGCCATTTACAAGATGCACTGCAGAAATTCACCAAAGATCCTTAGATAGCACCTTCCAAACCCACAACCACTTCCATCCAGAAGGACAAGGGCAGGAGATGCATGGGAACACTAAAGCTGTATGTCCGTCTCCAAACCACTCACCATCCTGACTTGGAAATATGTCACCATCCCTCTATAGTGATCGTAACGAGGTCTGCCAGGTGGACCTCATAGAATATGGGGTTAACCTGGTCCAATCAGGGAGCCCTGGTTGACAGATATAAACAGGAGTGTCAGAGGTTCTGCTCACTCTTAGAGCTGATTCTGAGGGATCTGGATCAGTGTCAAGGACTGGCCATGTGTAAATAAAAGGGGACTTGGTGACTGGATACTGGCCTCAGTGGAGTTATTTCATCTTTTGTGTCACTGGGTCAAAATCATGGAATTCCCTTCCTAATGGTATTGTGGTATTAATGGTAATGTACCTTTACCAAGGGAATTGCAGCGGTTCAGGAAGGCAGCTCAGCACCAACCTGCTCAAGGGCAAACAGAATGTGGCAATAAATGCTACGACTGGTGGAACAGCTACCAGGAGTGATTATTAAAATATTCATAAACATAAAATAAACAGATGGGGCCATGTGCATGAATTTTTAAAAAATCCTTTGGAGCAATATGTGCTTCTTTAATTCTGGTTTAAATATACACAGACTCGACTCTGTGACATGGAGTACCAAAAAGAAATCCCTTCAAGTATTTATCCAATCCTCTTTTAAATAGGCCAATAGATAATTAATCCTAATTTTATAAAATCTGGATTTCGGTATGATTAAAGATGAAGAGATAGTAGGAACTGCAGATGCTGGAGAATCTGAGATAA